GGCTAGATAAGTGTATATAATACAGCTTTTTAGTTTTTCTAGCCGCGCCACACCCCCCTAGCTACTTTTTAGATACCCTGGTGTGCATAAATCCGGATGAGACACACACTATTAAAGATGCAATCATGGGCTGAATCCCTCCCATCCCCAATGCTTTTTGCGCTTTCCCTTCTCTCCTCGATCCCCTGCTTGACCCCGCCATGCCATGCCGCCCACCTTCATGCAGCCGGAGGAACCAGTCTGCCTAGGTTCAGCATTGGCAGAGTGAACAATAATTGCGGGTGCACATAGCACGCATACACCTCAGTGATCAACGACGAGGCAAGCTTTGCGACGAGCTCCGTCATGGAAAATGATAGTTCAATGCGGCTTCGCGCAAATACAGTATGACAGCCATGGCCATCCTGAATTTGGTACGGACCCGGCCAACCGCGTCTTGACCGAGGTGGTCCTGCGTGATGCATTCGGACAGAAAAAGCAAGCATCCCACATCGCTGAGTCTTTGGGAAGGGAAAGAAAAAAAAAAAAGAAAAAAAAAGAGGAAAATTATCCATTTCGGCGCAAACCACTCAAGCGGAGTCGAGGGTCCTCAGAGGGGCCTGCGCTGTTCCCCGCTCTTGCTGCTGTACGTGTAAGGGCCCCGGCCAACACAACTACCGCGTAGATAATACCTGATGCTTGTTCAACTCCTTCACGTTATCTGCAACCCAAGCAAAGGCCCAAGGCAAGTAAGCAAGCCCACGTTTTTTCTCCGGCACTAGCTGTTTTCCCTTGGCCCTCTCGCGCGTTTTCTATTTCCTCCTTGGGGTGGGCTTTTGCTTGGCCGGCCCCAGTAAGTGAGGTATGCCCGTGCTTTAGCGTCCCATTGTCGACGGCCGCCGCACGCCGCACGCCGCACCTCGCAGCGCCCTCCTCCTCTCCGCACCATTACCTTTGAAGCTGCCTCGCCTTGCCTTACCTGGAGGTGCCTTGCCTACCTTACCTACCTCATATAGTAGGTACCTCACCTAGGACCTCTTAGCTTGCAACTCCGGGGTCCTTATGAACCTAATTCCTCTTTCCCCCTTCCCTCCTTCATAACCTTTCCCGTCCCTTCCTCTTGTTCATCTTTCCTGGCTCTTTTCCTTGATATCCTCCTCCCGATTCCACGACGTCTTCCGTTCATACCTTGGGTTCCACGTCGGACATACGGAACTTGTATACAACCAGAGATAACACAAGAGACGACGGTTTCCCTGTCAGCAACGGCCACCCAAACCCTCACCCACTGAGACTTTTGAGTCTCACCAAGAGCACCGGCCAGCCTTATGAGAGCCTGATCCGAACCCGGCAGAGAGGCCCCTCCGATATCCTCCCGCACGCGCAACTGCCAACGTCTGTGCCCCACTGCGCATCGACATCGGACTTTTTTTTTCTTGGACCACCACCCACAGGTTCATAGATAAAGAAGTTTGAAATCCAGCGAGGAGGAAGTCAGAAGGTTTTCTTCTTGGCTTCAAGAGCCAGAAGCCTGCGCGTCAGGGACATCATGAACGCCCAGGTCTCGTTTCTCGTAAGTAGACACACTCACTCCAGCCCTTGTCGCGCTCTGGATAAGGTAGAGTCACCAAAAAGGCGGGGCTGGCTCTTGCACTTTCATGTCCACCCCACCACTGCGACGCTACCTACGAGCTGCATCCGTACCCTTTCCGGACCAAGAACAATACATGACATAACGTCTTGCTGGGCCCATTGTTGAGGTCTTTGGACTAACACCGATTACGATCTAGGACGGCACCTACACTCTGATCCACATTCCTCTCGATCTGTACTCAACCTTGCTGCAGCCCATTCTCCGCGTTCTCCTGCCGCAGACCCAGACCCTTAAGGCGTCAAAAGGAGAGCCTGAACATGAATTAGAAGGCCTCAATGCCGAAAGCCAGCATGGCTTCCTCAACATTAGCGTCACTCCCATGGAGTGCTCGATCGTTTGCCACAGCTCTTGGGCCAAGAATGTCTTTGAGCCTGCCATCAAGGACCTGCCCAAGGACCTCGCCAAGTCTGTGTCAATATCCAAGGACACCTACCTCGTCCTGTCCGTCATCAGTGCAGGCATGGACGCTGCCGGGCGCGTCATGGAGCTGACTTCGCCTCTGGCCCTCGCCGGAATCCCGATTTTCTTCATTACCACCTACTACTCCGACTTCATCCTGGTGCCGACCAAGGACAAGAAGACTGTCGTCCAGGCCCTCCTGGCGCGCGGTTTCGAGCTAGCCGAGAACGAGTCCAACTTCGTCAGCCCTGCCGCATCTGTTCACTCCCGCGGCGGTAGCCAGAACGGCCCTCCGCTGACCCCTCCGCCCTCGACCATCGCCGAGCTCCAGGTACGCACTTTCGATTTGCTCAAGAAGCGTAGCGTCGCCCCTTACGTCGAAGACGACCTGCTCCTGGTCCAATGTTCTGGCCGGGAGACATCGCAACTTGGAGGCGAGTTCTCCCATACCCAGCGTCCGCCCCTGAGCAGGCAGGTGACGGGCAACGGCCATCGCCAGACTTGGCTGGACAACATCGACACGAAGCTGTACACCGCCATGATCTCGGCGCTGGCGGCGCGGCCGCGCTTCATATCCATCACTCTCGCACAGGAAGACCCGCCCTCACTACTGCTGGACAGGTCTCTCCTCGGTCTTTTTGGTGACTCACTCGTAGGAGACACCAAGTCAAACCTCACTCCCATCTTCCTGGACCTCGAGAGCCTCCCGTTGGAAGCCACCGGCATCGTTTGTGGAGTTGCCGGCACACTGGTGCAGGATATGCGCACCGGAGACAGCGCAGGACTGTCATATCTATCTACCGCTCGAGCCGGTGCCGTCATTCTTTCGTGTGAACAGTCGATTCACGCTCTTGAGATTCTTGAACCGAAACTGTTCAAGGCCTGATATGATTGAGCATGTGACCACAGCCCGGGGAACAGGCTGCATTGGTAAGGTTTTGCCAAAACATTGTTGGGCGGATCATAAGAAAACAAAAGACAGGAGGGACCAGAAAATGTTGCGACACTCTCGGAGTGGGATTTACGATGTTGGATGACTGTACTAGCATGGACTGGCTGCGGTTGGCAATCTGATTTTGAAATTTTCCTTCGATATGTTGGCGTTCGCGGAGGACGGCGGCTCTCTGATGTTAGATACCAACTCTTTGTATGTCTTGCGAGAATAGCTGGTGTCGGTCCGGATTGAATTTGAGATGCTTCGATCTCGTTTGTCTTTGATCCCATCTCGGGCCTCGGTCGGTGTGGTTTGTTGATGATCTAAATGCAGTTGTTGCGAGAGTACAACTCGCTGATATCTATCCAACATCCATCCCTTTCTACTTGCCGCCCTTCTTCTTCCCTGCTTCTTCGACCCAGCCCGCCTTCACAAACGCATCCCTCGCCGAGCTGTTAATCAACGCGAACCGCCGCGGGCCGAGCTTCTGTCCGCCGTACCATCTCGTCACGACGACCATGACGTCCCACAGGTCCATCAGCTGCATTAGATGCAATAGCCGCCCGCCCGCCGCCGTCTCCCCGTCGTCGTCGCAGTCCTGGAAGCTCGTCCCGTTGGGGCCCCGGATCCGCCACGCCGTCATGTTGTGCGTCGCCGTCCGCGCCTTCTTGTCCGTCGCGAGCAGGTGCTGCACGTACCCCGCCGCCTGCTCAGGATTCGTTACTGGCGCCGCCCGCGCCACGAAGACGGACTTGAGCTCCACGAAGGGGTCCGAGATCACCCACGGCGGCTCTTCCGCGAGGTACGCCGGCACCGACGACTCTTCGTACGCTGCTGCTGCTGCTGATGACGAGGACTCATCTGCTGCGTCCGGAGAGGGGCTCCGCGCCGCGGCCTCGGCTTCTGCGCTGGCCTCCGCCCACCGCTGGTACTCCTCTATCGCGTCAAAGAGGCAGACGGCGCCGGGCTGGTAGACGGTGGCGATGGCGTCGCGGAAGAGGGTGAGGTCGCGGGCGGCAGCGCCGCGGGGCGCACCCTCGCCGGCGCTGTGGGTGCCGAGGACCTGTGGCGGGACGGAGGGGTACGAGTCTGTGAGGCGGAGGGTGAGGGAGGAGGCGGAGGGCAGGGCGAGGATGTAGTCTGGCGGGGTGGCGGGGGAGAGGGTGCCGTCTCCGTAGATTGAGTTTATGACTTCGATCTCGTCTTTGAGGTCGTCCGACATTTTCGGGGTTGGTGTTGGCTGTGAAGGGGTTGGCCGACGGCAGAGGGTATGGGTTGTGGTGTAGGTGCGATGAGTGGTGAGTGAGAACCCAGAGTTCAATGTGACGTATGAAAGTTGAAGCTGGGGATTTCTCGACTGTGCTGGAGAGAAATTCAGATATCTCCGCCGTGGAATCAATCTCAACAAACGTCGAGTTGAGCGTTGCGGTAAGCTCATATGGCACTTGTGTGATATTGGATGTGGTTGTGAAGGTGATGGTGAGAACTTGCTCCGATGGACCGGCCGTTCGACCGCTGTGCGGGAGTGTGGGCCGGAGGGTCCGTGCGCTGGATAGCTACTCCCAAGGTTCCCTGCAATATACCTGTGAACTTGCAAAGAGGCAGCGACCTCAACCACATTGACAAGTTCAGGTGACCAATTGAAGCAGTACTGGAAACCACAACTCGCTTCATTGTCAATATTCACAATCAGCAAATGCCTAGGCATGATGCTTCTCGCTGGCCTACCTTGACACTCTCCGCTTGGAGAATCGGATCAACGCCGGTCTTGGTGCGATTGGAGTGGCAACTCTCGATGACACCGGCAGATAATGCCTGCTCGTCGTGATATCATACTTGTCACCATCATCGTAGGGCATGAAGCTGACAGTTAGGATCATATACAGATGTGATATACTAGCCGAGACTACGAAAAGAGGAACCACCATGCAGGATGCCATCGCCCCAGACTCATCTATTGGACCCCAGACATACCCTACAGCGCGACGCGGGAGACTTTGACAAAACAGGATATTACCCACCGCCTTGCAGCGCTTACTCGTCAACAACGGAGGCAAACTTGTCCAGCATTTGCTGCTGGATCTCCTCATACTGCGTAAAAGGTTAGCGAAGGACGCATAGCCGCATTTCACTACGAACAGACTCACCTTCTTAGTAATGGCGTCCTCTCCGTCGGTGGGAACCTCAAACTTGAGTTGACGCAGCTTGGACTGCAGGTCGGAGGTGGCCTCACGAACCTTGACCCAGCTCTGTCCCTGGGCAATGGCCTTCTGCGCCTCGTCGTGGAAACCAACCATCAACTTCATCATCCACTCAGTCTTCCACAGAGGGCAGAACTGGTCATAGTCTGAGTAACCGTTCTGCTGCAAAAAGTCCTCCTTCAGAAGAGCGGCGATATCCAGAGTGATCTTGTCGGGGTCAGACAGCGCACTCTTTCCGACCAGCTGCACGACCTGGTCAAGCTCCTCGGAGTCAGACAAAAGCTGCTTGATGCGGTCACGCAAGCGGGGGAACTCAGGGTACTCCTTCTCGTACCACTTGTCGAGGACCATGGTGTACTTGGAGTAACTGAGCGAGGTGTTGATGGAGGGGAAATGCTTGCGCTGGGCGAGCTTCTTGTCGAGACCCCAGAAAACTTGTACGATACCGAGGGTGGATGTGGTGACGGGATCGGAGAAATCACCACCAGGGGGACTGACGGCACCGACAATGCTGACACTGCCATTGCGCTCAGGGGAGCCGAGAGACTTGACACGGCCGGCACGCTCGTAGAAACTGGCGAGCTTGGCACCGAGGTACGCAGGGAAACCTTGGTCAGCAGGCATCTCTCCCAAACGACCGGAAATTTCACGGAGAGCCTCTGCCCATCGAGAAGAGGAGTCAGCCATCATGGCGACGTTCAGACCCTGATCACGGAAGTACTCGGCGACGGTGATACCGGTGTAAATGGAAGCCTCACGGGCAGCGACAGGCATGTTGGAGGTGTTGGCGATAAGGGTGGTGCGCTTCATGATGGGCTCCTTGCGGCCGTCGACCTCGATAGTGAGCTCGGGGAAATCCTTCAAGACTTCGGCCATCTCGTTACCGCGCTCACCGCATCCGACGTAGACGATGACATCGCTGTTGGAGAACTTGGACACGGACTGACTAATGACAGTCTTGCCGCAACCGAAAGCACCAGGAATGGCAACGGTACCACCCTGGACACCGGGGAACAGAGCGTCCAGCACTCTCTGACCGACGACGAAGGGCTCGTTTGCCTGAAGCTTCTCGGTGGTCGGACGGGGAACTCGCACAGGCCACGACTGCATCATGGGGTAGTCGGTCTTCTTGCCGTCGAACTCGACCTCGAGGAGGTTCTCCTCAACGGTGTAACTGCCCTTGCTAGCGATCTTGGTAATGGTACCGCGGGCGCGGGGAGGGAACAGGATTCTGTGGGTGGAAATGAAGGAGTTCTCGTTGACGGTACCCCAAACGTCACCGCCAGAGATGTGGTCTCCAACCTTCAGGGAGGGGACGAATTCCCACTTCTTCGTACGGTCGAGAGCGGGAACAGCGATACCGCGAGGAATGTAAATTGTCTTGGACATTTCGCTAATCTTCTCGAGGGGTCTCTGAATACCGTCGTAGATACCGTTGAGCAGACCGGGGCCGAGCTCGACGGACAGAGGCTTTCCGGTGCGAACGACGGGGTCACCGACAGTGACACCGGCTGCGATTTGTCAGTAGATTGTACTTTGAGCTGTCGCGCGCCATGTACCTACCAGTCTCCTCGTAAACCTGAATTGTGCATTGGTCGCCATTGATACGAATGACTTCACCGACCAGGTTATCGTGACCGACTCTGACCTGCGCATTGTCAGACATCCATTCTCAGCATCCATTCGAGCGATGCGACCTACCAACTCGTACATGGCAACACCAATCATGTCCTCGGCGACAATGACGGGTCTAGGATATGGTTAGTCGTCGAGCGCGGTAGATCGGGGGAAGGGGGCGAATCGGGGGAGCTACGATCGTACCCAGAGACCGAGAAGATCTTGCCTGCATGAGGAGGTCAGTTCAAGCTATCATCGATAATCAGAGTGACAGTGGTCACTAACCGGTGTGAGACTCATCGTCCTTGCTGTCTTTCTTCTGCTTCTGTGGCGTTGGTCAGCTTCTGCGATCGAGGTCGGGTCGGTGGGGCAGGCATATGCCGCATCACCATAACAAGAGACGACGGATTCGGGGGGTGCTTACAGGAGGCATGGTGGACGTCTGGACGCGAGCAGGGCTCGGCTCGTGGATTATTGTCACAGGAAGAAGGTCGGTCGATGCGGGGAGAGCGTCCGGGGTTGAAGGGGAGGGAGGGTTGGATGGCGTTTGACGAGGTGTTGTTGGAGGAGATGATGGTAGAGGTTGAGCAGAAGCTATTGCCAGAGCTTCGACGTCCACTTGGCTGCTTCGGTGCGGCTGCGGCTCCCGTGCATGTCTGGCCGGGGCACTCCAGCTGGCAATGGGATTGGTGCGGCCAGCCCACGCCTCACGTAGCGCATGCGAGAGTGGACCCGATGATGTATGACCGGGGCCCGTGCCTGCTGTGTCAGTGTTAAGGCCGCCGCCTCCTGTCGCTGAAGGACCGCCAGCGCCTGTAGCGTCCACGTCCAAGTCCACATCCAGATCCAGCTCGCCTGGGACCTGCAAGTAGGTTCCTGAGCCGCCAGTGCCAGCGGCCGTCGCCGAACCAGCTGGAGGAATGTAAGGTGACACCGGCGACGACGACAAACCATCGTCGTCTTGTTGCTTGCCCCGGGCCAGTAACTCGACCAGAGACGGCCGAGCCCGCAGCCTCGGGCGGAATCCGACCTGCATTCACTTTGATTTCAGGGGTTCAGAGACGTTGTGATGTTTTCTTGTTTCCCTTTCTGTGGATGGCGATGTCGCTTGTTGTGTCTCTGGTTTGAGTTGAAAGCGCGCGACGGGAGTCCCAAAAAGTGTAATTGACACCAGACGACGGCCTTTGTCCAGGGAGCTAGTCGACAATTACACCGCAGCAACCCAGCGATCTGCCAAGCGAAAGCCTGCACCTCAGGTTGCGGTCAAGGTCAGGCTTGCGAAAGCTGCACTGCCACGAAATGCTCCCCAGACGCACCCGTTCTCCGCACCGTTGACCCTGAGACCGGCTTCTCAACGACCACCCGCCATTTCACAGGTGTGGCTTGTGAACCATCACCATCATGAGCAACACCTCGTCGCAAGTCCGATGGTTCATTGGCACCAAAAGACGACAGGACACAAATTACAGTCATAAACAGTTACTACTATTCAAATCTAACTACGTGGGTAAAACAGGCTGTTCTTCGAAACGTTTCTCATAACTGGCCGTGTCTGACAGACAACTACGAGAAACAGCAAACCAGCCGAACGCATAAACGCTGGTTCTTTCATTCCCCTCCAAAAGCACGAAATACTTGCGTTCGTACATTCATTAATATCGTCATTATGCCATCATCCAACAGCTCATCATCGTCAATGGCTGTTAGACTGCCATCCAGACATACGCCGATATAAGCTCCCTTAGCAGAGCTTCATTACCCTGGCAAGTCTTTCGACTGATAACCAATAGCAGCTTCTGGGCTGCCCTTGTTTGATGGCCCCTTCATCGCCTCCTCCTCTTGCTTGTGTTGTCCACCCATTGTCTATGTTCGGCGGAATAACCTGTCCGCTCTTCTGGCCGTTTTGCGCAATCCGGTCCAGTTGGTACTTTTATCTATACTTTTGAATGTGATCCATGCGACGTGCTCGGATATGTACGGTGCTGAATTTCTTCATGTACGATGCAAATGCATCCGCTTGGGTGTGATGGCCTGCTGTTCGTTTGTCCAGTCTCTCGCAGATCAGGCTGTGGTCTCCCGAAAATCGATCAGCTGTTCCTCTTCGTCTTGCTGCTGTCGCGGCGGGGACAGGCTCTTTTCCCATTCGTCCATGAGGTTGTTGGCGGTACGCTTGAGGTTGCCAGGTGAGAGTTTGTTCACTACGGTGGGCAGAAGCTCCCCGAGCTGGGTAGGCGACAAGAGAGCCGACTCGGGGCGGGAGTCAGACCGGGCCGAGGTGTCAACGGTGATGGGCATCTTCTTCTTGCTGTGGACGGATGTCTTAGTACAGTGGGGGATGAGGCCGTTTGTGAGTTGCTTACAGTGGAGTCACATTCTCATCCTTGTTCTCAGACATGGACGCAAGTCCCTCTGCGCCGCCGACGGTCGAGCCGCTCCAGCGAGCGGACTTGGCCGAAGAAACCACGGGTGAATCCCAATTCGACCAGTCATCGTCAAAAGAGTCAAAGGTCAACGGCGTCCACGAGAAGTGCTTTGCTTTGGTCGTAGACTTCGTCGCCGGCTTCGGGTTCGGACGTTCCTGCAACGGCTTGGACGACTTGCTCGGGGTGTCGATCGGCGAGTCAAAAGCGGAGCTCAATGGGACTCTGGGACGAGAGTTGAGGGCCCTGATCGTGTCCTGGTCGCCGAACGAGCCGACTCTTTTCCCCGTGGGGTCCGTCGAGCCAGGACGGGAAATGCCATGAATCGGCTCGTCGCCAACGGTGGCTTGTCGGATGTCTTCCACGAAGCTCCAAAGTCCTACCCTAAAGTCTTGAGCCATCTGCTTCACTCCAGGTGTAGCGGTGTTGTAAGTGCGCGGCTGCCAGGAAGCCCTCTTAGGAAGAGCAGGATGGGTAGGGGTCATGACCGGGGAACGAAGCTCCATGGACTTGACACTGGAGGTGTCTTCGTGCACCGCGAAGCCTTCCGGTTTCGTCGGCGAAAGTAATGACAGAGTCCGCGTGTGCCCGCCACGAAGGACTCTTCGTCTGTATTCTCGGGGGCCCGTCTGTCCCTGCAAGTCCCTCAGAAGCGCCTTCCTTCTATCCAGCTCGACACTCCGTCGGGAAGCTGCCTCATCATCGTCCAATAGCGACGGCTCAAACTGAGGCGCCAATGGGCGCTGTGGCAGATCCCTCTTCCTCCGGGCTGACTGGGCAGTCCAGTCGTGCTTCAATTTCGCCAATTCAGCTTCCGCACGCGCCAGCTCCTCGCGAATCTCCAATACTCGTCGTTCTTGCGCTGCTATCGCAATGATGAAGTCATTGGGGTCTGACGGGGAGGTGACAGCCGAGGTGTCGGCAGGCGTGGGAGGGTACGATGCGGTCGTAACTGAAGCCGGCCTTGAAGGGTCGCTGGTCGGCGGAGCGATTGGCAGTGTAAGCGATAGTCGATTGGTGTTTCGAGAGGCACTGGAATTCGACCGCGCCGCGCGGTTAAGGCGGTCTTGTGTCGAGGGGGTTGGGGGAGGCGGTGTCATGGCCCCGGGTGCTTCCTCCATCTCTCCTATCAGAGTCTCGACGTGCATCTCTGACGGTTTGAATTGGGTAGGTCTCGGGGGCAGTAAGGGTTGCGGTGTAAAAGCCGTCGTGGTAGTGGCCGCGGAGTCCGCCGGCGGGCGCTCGACCACAGAAGAGGAACGACAGCGAATCTCGTGGGTGCTCTGCATCTCAGCACGAGCAAAACGGTTGCGTGACGCCTCCCGGGAGAATTGAGCGTTGGCGATGTTGTATGACCGGCGGCGCTTAAGCAAAGAATGGGAGGGAGAGGCGTTACTGGCCTTCCGGATGTGCCTTTGTCTCCAGGCGGTGGAGGAGTGAGCGGAATTCGTTCTTCTGGCGACGACAGCCTTGTATGTGTTTAGGTGTTTTTGGTGGTCATTCAAGAGAGTGCGAGAAACAGTAGCGACGAAGCAGATTTGTAGTAGGAAAATGGCTGTCATGGAGAGGGTGGAAAGAGGGTCATTATTGACAGGCCGTGTTTGTTGTTGCAGTGCAGCCAGCAAAAGCAAGCGAAAAACGCCCCAGCAGATAGCAGCGATTAGCAGGAACCGGAGCAAGAGACGGGGTTGGGGGGTCTGGTCTCTTCTGGGTCTGGGACTTGCAATGGGTCTTCTGAATGGGGACGGGGGGCTTTCGGGGGTGTGTGGCCCAGGTTTAGGAACCAGACCTCGTCGAGTCCTCTCTGGGTCTGGTCGGGGGGTGATTGAATGAGGGTTGCAGGCGCAATGGATGCCACGATTGGACAGCGAGATTGGCTGAGCTGGCGTGGCGGACGAGGGTATTTTCTGCTCAGATAGGGGGCGGTAGGGTAGTTCAAGCTCGTCAACCAGTGGGTGCGGCCGCTGTGGAATCTTTTATCTCGCCTGTTTGCCGTACCTTGGGGGGGCTCGAATGACGGATTCGGGCACAGATTCCCAGTTGGAGGAACGACAAGGACTGGAAATGGAGAAGGGAACTGTGGTGTTGCTGTAAAGATTGTGACGGACAGGAGAGGACGAGATGGCAGAAGGAATTGCGACTGGGAGAGGCGAGTCGAGGCCCTTGGATTGCCAGTGGATGATGGTGACTCCGAGGCGTCAATGCTGTTATCTTTTTTTCTTTCTTGATTTGTTTGGATTGGACAGTTCACAGTGTGGACTGAACCGGTCTGGATTAATTTGCTTGATGCCTGTCTGCTTTGCTTGTGTTGTTGACAGTACGCGGTAGAAGGCCTAGGATCGGACCGGCAGTGAGTCCTGGGTGGTGCGTCCGAACTTTGATGTTGGTATCCGTAGTCGACGTGGTCGTCCTGGGGTTCATGCAGGGGTAGCCAAGGAGACCGATGGCAGGACCCAGAGTATGAGGTAAGGTAACAGCAAGGAACGACGAGGTAAAAGAAGGGCAAAGGCCGCGAGTTCGGACGAGAATTGACGAGCGAAAGGTGCAAAGGTGCAGGCGGGATGGGATGGACGGCAACGGTCGTCTGTATGTCTGAGTAAGGTGTAATAAAGTGTCGAGACCGACAGCGCCGGTAGCAGCAGCAACGGGAGGCGGGGAGCCAATGACGAGCAGGCGGGATCGATGATGGACGCAAGATTCTGCGACAATTCGAAACCAGGTAGGAAAGAAGGAAAGATGGGTGTGGTTGGTTGGCAATGGGATTGGGCAGCAGAAATGGAAGAAGGAGAATTGGATCAGATCGAGGTAGGCCAGATGCAGATGCAGATGTCGAACGACGAGTGAGAGTGAGAGAGTGAATGGACCAAATGCGGTCTTGCTGTGTATCTGTACGGATGTCGCAGAAGACGTGCAGCAGCTAGTCAGTCATTTGACTCTTTTTTTGTTGGCTACGGGCCTGGTTGTTGGGATGGGAACCGGAGCATGTGGTCTGACCTGGGCTGTTGATGACGGACATCTGGTGGTTTTGCAGTGCGGTTGCATTGCTTTTTGCCTATTGGACTCGCATTATTTACATCCATAGACCCTGCTGGACGAACACCACCCCCCTCTTTTTGTTTTCACAGCTTAAAGCCGCATGAGACACCAGTCATGGGAAATGGCAGGCTACCTAGCTATGGCGGCTTGTTGTCAAAATCCAGCCCAGATCTCATTGGCACATGTTTCTTGTTGTTTTGGCGTCCGCCTTGTCCGATCAACAAGACGAAACGAACGAACCATTGTCCACGGAAACCGGTGGCCCACACCCTCAATGGAAGTCGAGACTCGAGGGTCATAAAGACCAAGTCCATGACCACCAGATTCAAGTCGTGCGTTTGCATCAGCGCCGATCCACCGGGCTAAGAGAGTTGGACGTTGCTCAGGGGCTTGCTGCAGCGTGCAACCATTGTCCGTGGGCAGCCTGTAAGAAGCTGCGGCTCCTGCTGCAAGGAGTCAGAAACAGTCAGAAACAGTCAGGAACCGATGGGCGCCCCGGCAACAGGCGTGCGACGTGCAGTCGGTCCTGACGGCGCCATGATGGTGCCGGACGGGGAAGTCTTGGTAAAATGGCCCGAGGCACTTTTTTTTTCTCCTTCCGAGTCGTACGTATGCGCACAGGCTGGAGGTTTTGCTGACAGTTTGCTAGCAGTCGTTAGTGGCTTCTTCACCAGTTCTTAGCAGCGCCAACTAAGATGGTAGCTTGGCCAGCACTGCCTGGTCGCGAATCCAGGGCCCGCAAGGGCACGCAGGAAACAGCTGGGATGACCCGTGGCCTGCGTGGAGAGCCCCCAATTTCACAATTTCCCAGAAATTAGTGTCCAATCAGAGTTGCAGTCTGTTTCCCCAAATCCCATCGGGCCCCACGTGATTGCCTGTCGTGGCTGCGACATTCTTCCCATCTCACGCGCTCCTTCTGGCTTCTGCTCTTTCCAGAACGTCTGCCGCGCCTGCTCTGGCTGAAGCTGTGCATGGCTTTTTGTGCACGCATTAATCCAGCGGACGATCGGATGCACAGTCGCACCACACAGAGCGCCTGCAATTGCAATTGAATTCGAGCCCGGCCGGTGGAGGCCCTCCACTGGACCCAAAGGTACTTACGGCGCGTACCACCGAGACGCGTGACGGACGCGACTTCTTCATCCGACAGTGCATGAAGCTCTCACGAGGCACAGCATCTGACCTAAGCTGGAAGCGGCCACCCAACACAGAAATCGCCATTTAATCATTCACCCGAGGCAATCGGATTCACTCTCGCGGGCTGTCACCGGGTAAAGCCCGCCGTGGCTGCCTACTCTTGTAACGCGAGTTGGCTGGTGGTCAATTTTCCCATAAGGTCTTCTTCTCATCAGACATCGTCTGCGTTTATTGGTTCATTTTCAACAATGATCAATCTGTCACGATGCCGTTTCCTTTCCTTCTTGTTTGCGACCTCCTAGAACAGGCTCACAGACAATGCAAATCGGATCCTACCAAGGTCAACGAACGCGTGACCAACTGGTTCAAGCAACACCGCCATCGGATCGACGACTCAGGAAACAGTGCCTCCGCTCTATTTTCTACGCTCCTACCGGAGAAGCGTACTGATCGTGTGTACGGCATTCAGGCCGACTCGCTATGTGGCATCGTCGGACGGGTGCTGGGCCTCGGCCAGTCGCGTGTGAAAGAGATAAAGCGATTCAAAGAGCCCGGCCTAGGGTTGGATCTGGCTGATTGTATCGAGAACATTTTCAAAGAAACAGTATGTCATCGGATGTCCCTATTGAGCTATCCGGTTTTGGATGATGCATGTGTATTAGAACCTGTTTAATCTAACATCTACACAGCCGAGCCCATGCTACAATGCTGCGAATCCTATTACTGTGGAGGAGATCGACACAACCCTCAATAGCCTTGCCGCCAGGTGCAGATTCAGTTCTCCCGCAGTTCAGGCATCGCAGCTCCGACCGAGCAGCGCTCGCGACCGAGATGAGCTTCTATCCAGCTTGTACCTTCGCCTGAACGCCAGAGAAGCCAAGTGGCTGACTCGTCTCATCCTCAAAAACTACCAGCCTGTCGTATTCGACCCCAGACACATCTATTACTGCTACGATCCGTTGCTCCCTATGATTCTAAGAGTTCAAGATGGCTTTGCCGCGGCTCTGTCTCTTCGGCAAAAGATGAGGAATGACCCTTATCTCCGCGACGACACAGGACAAAAAAGACGCGAGAATTTGTTGAAGCACCTGACGCCTGTCTTGGGTGTCAAGGTAGGGAGACAATCGTGGCTGAAAGGACGCAGCATCAAACACTGCATGAAAATCGGCCACGGTCAGATGAGTTGTGAAAAGAAGGTTGATGGGGAATATTGCCAGATCCACATAGATCTGAGCAAGGGATATAAGTGTATTCAGATCTTTTCCAAGAGCGGCAAAGACAGCACATCAGATCGCGCAGCATTGCATGGGTACGTTGATGATCTCCTCGCCGCGTTCGCGTGGGCTAATAGCAGCAGGGCAATTCGCGATTCTCTCAACATCGGAAAGCTCGACTGCAAGTTCTCAAAGGGATGCATTCTAGAGGGCGAGCTAGTTGTCTACAGTGATAAAGTATGCATCTGTTCTCCATCAAATCTCCACCTACTTACATTGCGTAGGAACAAAAGATTCTTCCATTTCATAAGATACGAAAATATGTGTCTCGGTCTGGCAGCTTTCTGCATACAGAGGCCGACTCACAGTAAGCACTCCACTTCCCAGACAGAGCTTGTAGTCTGACTGGCATAGGCGGCATCACTACGAGCACTTGATGATCGTCTACTATGACGTCCTTCTTGTTGACGGAGAATCACTGCTTGGAGTCCGGCATAGCAAGCGGTTCAAGCGTCTGACTGATTTGATCACCTGCCGAGAGGGATTCGCCGAGCTTGTAGAACGCCAAGTCATTTCCCTCGGCCAGCCCATGGCTGCATCCCACTTGAGAAAGGCATTTGCCAAGTCTATAACAGCACGAGATGAAGGCTTGGTTTTGAAGCCCGACGATCCCTACTTCGACTTCAGCGAAAATCGTCGCCCATTTTCCGGTTGCCCCATCAAGCTAAAGAAGGAGTACATCGGCAGCTTTGGTGATGTGGGCGACTTTGCTGTGGTGGCAGCTCGTTACGACCCGGACAAAGCCAAATGCTACCGCATCCCGAATCTCAAGTGGACACACTTCTACCTTGGTTGTCTCGACAACAAAGAAGATGTTCAGAGGTTTCAGGCCAGACCAAGATTCACAGTGGTTCACCAGGTAGAGCTGAACGAGGCCATGCTCAAGACGGTGGTGGCCCATGGCAGGCCTATGCCTGTGGCCTTCGACGACAATGATGCGCTGATCTTGGATATTGCTCCAGGCATCGCGCAACCAAAGGTGCCAAGTGTGGTCTTCACGGAGCCTTTGGTGTTCGACGTCCGTTGTTTCTCGTTTGATAAGGAGGGAAACACTGGCTTCTGGCAGCCAAGGTTTCCTCAGGTATCCAAGGTTCACTTTGACAGATCCTTCATCGACACCATTTCTTTTTCAGAGCTACAGAAGGTAGCCGAGGACGCTACAACCACACCACCAATGGAGGACAGCCAGGAGATGCTTGGCTGGATCGCTGCGCTGGAAGGCGCAGACCCACGCGGTATTCCTGTCGACGCTATCAGCCAGTCAACGACTACCTCTCTCATGACACCTTCCCGCACGTCCTCCGTTCGACCATCAACTTCGCCAGCTCCTCGCGTGGAAAGTCCACTGGTCAATCGTCGATCCCTCCCAGCCTTGCCTGAGGTAGCAGAGCCTGCTCTCGTCACTCCACCGACGTCTTCTGCTCCTGAAAGCATTGCAGGCAAGACTACGAAGCCAGCTGCCGACATCGTCACTGCCGAGACGTCGTCCAAAGCCAACAAGCGGACACAAGAAAACCATCACCCTGTTGCCCGCGAGAACAAGCGACCGAGGGTCTGTTCAGACCCTTGTTTGGCCAAGCAAAAACCTGCTCTTCAGCAAAGTCGCCTGCCACTCGGAGAAGTGAGCGCAAACCGAACCGCTCCCTCACCCCGGGCTTCTCAACAGGCGGCATTCCCAAAGCCCGTTGAAGCAGCCGCGATGCCTCCGAACCCGACGCCGCCCTCGTCCGGCGGTGCTCAAGCCCCGGCCGCAGAGAATGCAGCCCCTCAGGCACATGGCTCGAACGAAGGAACCGGAATGCCGCCTCCACCCCAGCCATCTCCTTCTACCAAGGCATGCGAATATGCCGGCAGCCACTGTCTCCTCGCAGAAAAGCGCATCGCCCTCCTCTCTCCCTGTATCGCCCACCAACCGTGGGTCACCGAAAACCTGCTTCCGTCCCACGGCATCCACGAATGGACCACAGACCTCAAATATTGGAGCAGCATCCCGGCGTGCTCACAGTCCAAGAAGAACCGCACCCGCAAGATCTGCTTCGTCGAGCATAATCGCAAGGAAGCCACTAGAGAATTCATGAAGCGGGCAGAGGAGAGCCCGCAATACTTTCCCAGCGGGAAGCGCGAGTGGGTTGAGGTGTACGATTGGCGCTTATTGGAGGATGTTACTGCATTGGAGAGAGTGCTCAAGGGATCAAAGGCGCTGTCTGAGCAACCCCCTGACCCGAAGCGCAAGTGGTTCGTCGGACTGGTCTAGGCCTTCTTCTAGCATAGCGAAGGAGTTTTTCTGTATGAGTACATGAGTTGTCACGGCATACATCACGCATCGTGCACAATGAGACATGACGTTTTGCAAAAATCTCTTGATCAAGCTCCCACGGCTTGGTCTATGCTTTTGTCGTCTCCTCATCTTTATACAGGCCCTTGTAGCTCTCCCTCAGCCTCATGAAAAGGTGCTCATCAGCAGTCATGACCTTCCTCTCCGCGTACGGGTTCGCGTGCGGCGTGCCCTCCGGCGCGACGAACTGCTTCACCCTCTCGCTCGGCACCGGGTCCAGGGTGACGGATCCGACGGGGTGGCAGAAGAAGGCCATCGAGTACCTCGGCCCCGTATCCGTCTCGCCGGGTGCGCCCTCGCCACCGAACACGACCCTGTGTACCGTGCTCCGGAACATGCCGTTGGTCCAGTACGACAGCAGGTCGCCGATATTGATCAGGATGGGCGGGAGCGCGTCGGCCTCGGTCCCAGGCGGCGTCACGGGCACGGGGGCCCAGGTGTTCTCGCGGGTCAGGATCTCGAGGCCGGCCTGGCCGCGCAGGCGGAAGAGCAGGGTCAGGGAGCCGTAGTCCGAGTGGGCACCGGCGCGGACGTCATCCGGGGAGGAGGAGGTGGCGGAGGAGGGAGGGTAGTAGAGCATGCGGAGGATGGTGCCCGAGTCGCCCTTTTCGCGGAGGTGGGCGGCGGAGAAGAAGGTTGGCGGGTCGACTTCGAGGCCGATGCCGAGGAGGTTGAGGAGCTCAAGGCAGAGGGCGTGGCACTGGTCTCTGAAGGAGTTCAAGAAGGGCTCATCGGGCTGGATTGTTGGGGGCAGGGGTTGCTGGGCTTTGGAGTCTTTGAATTCGCCAAAGTTAAAGGCTCTAAGTCATGTTAGTCGTCTTTGGGTGTATATCAGCGCAGCGATGGGGGAAACGCACTCCTTGTAGTCTCCCACCTGTGTGAAGTTTTAGTATTAGCTTCACGAATATGTCTGGGCCGGGTTTAATCTACTTGCCCTTTGGTTCTTAGGGTCCAAGGTCTCAGAGTGCATACCAGACCAGCCACGGTTGTTTTGCTGAATGGTGCAGGCAGCCTTTTCCTCTACAGGAGCCTTGAAGAGCTTCTTCGACTATTTCGGGCATGTCAGTCCAGTGTGAATTCAAGGGGGTTTTCGATTACTCACCAAGTCAAAGGCAGCATCGATGTCGCTGAGGTTGATGTACTTGCCGGTATTGCGGATGTAAATGAAGCCGTGCTCGACCGCGGCATCGACAAGCTGCCGCGCGATGGCGGTCCTGTCGACGCCAGGCGCGGCGATGTCGATGATGGGGATGTTCGCGTTGGGGGCCATATCTGCTGCTTGTTCTTTCGCTTATTCGCTTTCACTGGAGGAGAGATGAGAGAGAAGAACTAGGCGAATTATGAGAGTGAGCGAGCGAGCGGCGCACTTGGAGGGGCGAGGTTCGCCCGAACTCGCGCGAAGTGGGATGCGATAAGCGATAAGGGTGGGATGATGAGTGTGGAGGGGCGGATAGGATCGCTTGAGACGGGGCCGGGCGACTTGTGTAATGTCTATTACGCAGCTTTTGATAGCGGACATGAGAATGGGTCTGTTTCGAGAGGGCCAGGAATTCGTGAGCTAGAGTGTTACCGCCGTGCTCCTCTGAGCGGCTGGTTGCCCTTGGATGTTACGAGCCACAAGATCAAGAGGTGCTGCATATTCGATGTGCGGGGTGAAACGTGAAGAAGTAATATTCAGATAAGGAGGCGCAGGAGGTTGAGCAAACTCAATATGACAGTAGCTGTCTCTGTTGGGATGGTTGTCCAATCAGACCAGGCGAAATGCCAGAAATCGCAGGTCGAGCTGTTGCGACGGGGTAAGCCATGATACAATTCATGTCCATCGATGCAGATGATTGAGGTGAAGAGTTCGTTTTTGTATCTCGTCGGCCTACTCATTGGGCTGTTCTTGTTCCAAGCTGAACCCTGAGCCGGCAATCAACTGAACGGCGGGTTGCTGGGATGCAGCAGGTTGGTAGCACAAAGCTTGAGCTGTGAGCAGTTGACCTTGGCATGGGCCAAATTCTGATCCGTTGACATGCCACAGGCTACTTTCCTAAGGTCTACACCGAGGACATGTTGTGAATGGAACTGCTAGCTATTACCCATGAAATACGCGTGTCGATATGTGCTGTCAGCGACACAGGGCAGTCACTGGTCGAGTACAGGCGAGTTGGCAGTGAAAAAGTCCAACTGCCCTTGGTAGCAAGTCGAAATGGGCCTAGGGAAGTCAAGCAACCCTTCATGTAGCTCATGTTCCCATCTTGATATTACTCGATTTCGGTACTTCACAGAGTTAGAAGTCGTTAGACAAAATACCAAGTATAGAATATCTGCGGCATCCATCTGCAAGGGTTGGCAAGACGCGCTCGAGAAGGAGGTTGCATCCCACATCCCTGACTTTCAAGACGCGCGAATGCATCCGACAAGAGCGGGGATCGGGACAGGCGGGGACGGAGCCGCTGCAAGGTCACTTCAATGGAAAGAAGCTTCATCGAGTGGCTGGAACACGGAGTGGCGCCTCTTGCTATTGGCAAATGGGACCGAAACGCGGTCTCGGATGCTTGTCTTTTTGTGTGTTTATGCTTCTAGGGTCTCCAAGCTGCCAAAGAGGTGTCTTTCTCTGGAGCTGGATGGACGGCGCAAGACAAGCTCTGGTTGCAGGTAGAGCGAGCAAAAGGAGTATTCAGGAAGGAAGTAAAGACCTGAAGGGGTTCTTTCTGCCTGCCAGCCTTAAGATGTGTGAAGCAACTACGATGATGAGTTGTCACTCACTCCTCGGCAGATAGGCAGGTTACCCTAGGTGCGCAGCAAGCCACAAGACACCGCCACAAAAGTCAACCCCCACCCGACAGCACCTGCGGCGGCACTGCAACCTGTAACTCAAGGCAGGCGCTAACCCTAGGTACTGTTGCTAGCACCCCGAAACCCAACCTAAGGGTTCCATTTGCCAACCCGCTCCCCCTGGGCCCTGCCCGTGTCTGTACAGCGGTACCGTACCTCGCACCTACTGGTCTTACCTACGCTACCTACCTACCATGCGTCCTTGAACCCCAAACTCTCCCAATTTACCTACCGCCCCTCGCCAGCGCCTTTTCCAAAGCTCCCCTCTTCGTTCGAGACACGCTTGTCAGTGTCATTGGCCTTTCTGTGGCCTTCTTTTTTTCATGACAAGCTCAGTCATTCCTTCAGAAGTCATTTGAACTTCCGGCAGACCCTGTCCGACCACCTTGCCTCTCCTGAGAGATCTCGCGACCCAAAGCTCCACCCCCCGTCCCTCTCCCCCAAACGGTTCGTTGTCAACTCGAGCTCGACGAGCTTCCTCGTGGTCGCGCAAGGTCCGACAACATGCCTAGTGAGTCCGCCATTTTCTTCTGCACTCGAGCAACTTCGTTCCCTCCATGCGCGCGCCCTCTGCTGCGTTTTTTGCCCTGTCCGGAGCCTCGTCTTCTCGTCACATGCCTTGAAGGCTACCTGCGTCATACCCGCCCCGACTCGTCTCGCGCCTAGAGGCATCCGATTTCCCGCCAGAGTGGGCATCCTACGAGAATCAAAGCTCGGTCGCCCAACGAGGAAGGGAGCTCTGTGACTACTCGTCGTCATCAGGATCTCCAAAGCTTGCACTTAAAGCTCGTCTCGTCCATGTCACACCACACACCACCTGGCCTCAAACTGCGATCGACGGCAACCGGACACTCCCGCTCCTCAACCCTGCCCTTGCAACTCGGCGTCCCGACTTCATATTTACAAGCCGTTTCTTGGATATTACTGACCTAGAATGAAAGGCCTTGTGGAGGACGCCTGGACCAATGGCCATGCAATGTAAGTTCAACCCGCCCCCGAAGTTGGGATCCTGCCAACTAAAATTCTCATGACCCAGGTCCCATGATGTCTCCGAGCTCGAGGACTGTGCGATAGCCATTGATGCGACGTACTACCTCCAGCTTTTCCTCGAGAGTCCCCATTTCCACGAGCCACTTCTGCCCGCGCTGGGTGGCATGACCGGCATCGAGTTCCACCTCCGAGCCGACATTGAGCAATGGAAAGCGCACAAGATCATCCCGTTCTTCATCTTCGACGGCCAGTCTGTGACTGGCCAGGAAGAAGTCGCGGTGCAGCGGGGAAAGCTTGCAAACCAGAAAACGAACGAGGCCTGGACTCTATACTTTTCCGGTGAAGCCACGAAGGCTGTCGAGGCTTTTGGTGCGAATTACGGTACGGAACACGGACGATGCGGACGGTGGCATTTATACTGACACGACTTGGCTTAGGTGCCTTCCGCATTCAAAACCTGTACCCCTTGCTCCAGTCGATCTTGAAGGACAACAACCTTCATTTCCTCGTGCCTCCATACAATGCCTCTGCCCAGGTCAGTCGATGGTCCAGCAAGGCCTCCAAGTGGGCAGTACTGACAGAAAACGATAGCTCGCCTATTTCGACGTGATTGACTCCGATCAATGCGCTGCCATCATGGGCTCCCAGGAGCTGCTCCTGTATCCGATCAGGGACACCATCATCCGCACAATAGACTGGGAGGCGAAGAGTGTCACCTCACTCTCCAAGAAACTACTGCTGAAATCACTCAACGTCAGCGAAAGCATGCTAGTTGATGCGCTGTTGATGACTGGCACCTCTTTCCTGCCCCCCTTCCCTCCTCTTCAGGACGCGTCTCTTAATCCGCGTCAGCCATTCACCATTCAAGATGCGGTTAACCTCCTCAGAGCGTCGGAGAAGTCAGTTCAGTCCGCTTGCAGCTCATACGGGGATGTTCTCAAGTCAAAGGACCCGAAGTGGTTGGACAAATACAGGCAGGCCAAGATGGCCATCAACCACTACATCTACATCGCAGAGAGCGGCGAGGTCAAGGTGAATGATTATGATCATATTACGAGCGATAATCACGAATATCTCGGCCTACAGCTTCCTGGAGAGCTCTTCCACTACCTCAACACCGGGTTGATCGGTGCTCGCGTTCTCAACTACATAACACATAGCCAGATCGTTGTGACACCAACTCTCGATGGCGTGTCCTCGGAGCAGTACAAAAAGCTGATCACAAACCAGCTCGTTCCCCTCAAGGAGCAGAGTATCGCACTTCTCATCCCTAGACTGCATCGTGGTCTGCAGCACAACCCAATCTACCTCAAAGTGTGGTTCGACGATGCGTTCAATTACAAGATCAACAAATCCCTTCAGCCGTCGCCATCTCTGCGTGCCGCCACATGGGATGTGAAGGAAAGCTCTTTCAAGATGGTCGAGGGTCTTGAGGACCCCCCTGGGTCAATCGCATACGAATTCGGAGCGTTGCTGTTCACTGATTTCGTCACGGCCACCTTCCCAAAGGACAAGAAGCGCATTGGTGGTATCGATTCGTCTCAGAATATCAAAGCCGTTGTCATTTGGCGATTCCTACATCTCCGTGGCTACGTCGATGATTCTCACATGCTTACCAATTGGGGTAATGCTGTTGCTAGTGCGATTTGGGCCATGAAGGATTCACTGAAGAACATTGAACTTCCTGAAGGTCTTAACATCTTTGAGGCAATCTTGACCGCTTTTGAGCTTATCAGGTTTGACGTGCTCAACTCCCGACACAAACATGAGGAGCTCAATGGCGCTCCCAGCGCTGGCAGTGAGGACGATAAAGCCAGTATCGTTCTCCTCAGCCGATGCTCCTCGCTACTCAAGCTTCGACACGAGGCAAATGGATACACGGGTCCCCTCAACAAGAACCTCTTGTTGTTCCGATCTCTATCCACTGCAGTGCGCGAGGCTGACCGCGACCTGGTGGAGGCGATCGTGGCATCTATGTTCCTTTACGCGCAGTCTGAGAGAGACAGGGATGATTACTTGGACATTAACAACACGTAAGGATACAAAACCCAAAAAGTTGACCGCGGCGACTAACGAGAAGATGTACAGGCTGCCTTTCCTGCACAGCCCAGACATTGCTCTAGGTATTGCGGTCAAGACTCTGATGGACGAGGTTCCCGCCGGTGAAACCCTGCAACAGCGACAAGCTACTATTGACGCTTTTCCCGGAAAGTTCTTCCCATATGCTACTCACTTCAAGGAGGATATTCAGCTGGCCTACGCTTTCTTCGATGCGATCCACAAGGGTGTGCAGACGCTGAATAAGGAGGTTTCAGCCGCAGACAAGGCGGTGTGGTCAACAGCAAGCAAATACCTGGATCAAAAGCGATTCTAGGGCCGAATTTCCTGGGCCTTGCAGCGCGGCGTTGGAGAATAAAAATACAAAACAAAAAGGCAGACGGAGACCTGGACAGCATG